TTGTTTTGAAAATGTGAAGTGTGGAAATTGTTTTAGTTTGTGAGCAAGTGATTAAGAGTGATCTACCTACTCAAAAAGTCTTTGTTCTTTTCCTCCTCCTTTAGATAGTGTTATCCGAGGATGCTTTAGCAATTTGTTGTAAGGGGCTAAGATTGTTTACCGAAGGAAACATCGAAAGGGTCATCGAGGGACTATGATCTTTTAATCGAGGGTCTTTTCTAAAACATCCAACGCTCGAGGGACATGACTGTTTATATCTGAGGCAACAAGTGAGGTTTACCCTAGAGGTGCATGTGTGCAAAGTGTTTTGATTTCAAGTACTTTATCTTGAATTAGGGTTTTGCTATGATTGATTTTAATCTTGTCATACAAACCCTAATTACTAACAGTAATAAGGAAAGCGATAAATTACGGAAATTGAATATCCTACGCTATTACAACGCTTCGGGAATGTGGGTACAAATTTACAAATGGGGATGAAAAGCAATAAATCCTAATTATCTATTACAGACCAATGAGCAATTACATGATCAGAAGAGGAAATTATTGTTGTTTTGGTAGAGAAAAAAGATTTAATATTTTAACCTAATTGATTGACTTTGTATTTAAAAGAAATTAGTAAACCTAAAAAAATTAATTTAAGGTCAAAATTAATTTTATTAATTAAAAGGAAAAATAATCTAAATATAGAAGAAAAAAAACCTAGGTCTAAGTTAATTTAAAAGAGAAATTAATTATTAGAAGATACTTTTGAGGTTTTATTTAGAAAAATATTTTCTGATGTAAAATAAATAATAAAAACCTAATTCTAATCATTTTTTACAAGTTTACAAAATAAAATAATTAATTTTATTTATGAAAATTAAAAATAATTGATTAAAACCTAAACCTAATTCTTATGATTTTTATGATTTAATGTATTTTATTAAATAAAATAAATGAATAAAAGTAGAAAAATAAAATATAAAAAGAAATAAAAAAAAGATTGGGCCATGAGTCAGAAGTAAAAGAGGGGTGTGAGAAAATCATTTTTGTTAGGCCCAAAATACGTTTTTGTTTGAATCAGAAAATAAAAAAATATATGGGCCTGCGCGTTGTACATCAAATGAGGAGGTGTTGGGAAGCAGAAGAACCTGGGCCCAAGGCCAGGAGGCCCAATGTTGGGGTGCTGGAAATAAAAAAAGATTAAAATAAAACATGAAAAATATAAAAGGGTATCGTTGGGGCTCGAACCTAGGTCCCAAATATAACAGGCACGCACTTTAACCACTGGGGTGGTGATACATTAGGTAGTTAAAGAAACAACTATTAAATATATTACAAACTCCTTTCTGAATGTAACTTCATCTTCTTCCTCGCGCCAGTAATAATAACAACATTTTTTGAATTTATGAAAGGGCTCATTTCTCAACCAAATTGAAAAGTGTAAACATGAAACTTGCTGGAAATTTAACCACGAATCCAACCATATAAATTTCAAGAGCTATAAATCAAAGATGAGTGAGAATTTTACTTGGTACCAAACTGAACCCTAAAATCCCAGAAATTTCAATTTCAAAATTCTCATCATGTAGGCAATATAAATGAAAACTAAGGACATGGTTAGCTTCAGGACAATGATATCTACATTTTATCTTTTGAAATCGAAGGCAAATGATGCTTGAATAAGGATTTCAAAGTTCAGAAAACTTACCTTTAAAGTGAGAATCGAGTTTGAAGGTTGAGCACTCTAGGAGGTGTTGTGATGATCTAGATAGCTTCATTGAACTCCCAGGAAGCTATTGCAATGCTTACTTTGGATTGAGAGTTGCTGGATTCTTCTGGACAAGTCAAGTTGCAGAGCTCTGTTTTTGGAAATGGAGGATGATGAAGATGATGTTAGTGATGAAACAGGGCTTTGGATAGTGTAATACGGTGGGCGAACTGACTTGGGTGTTTTGCGTTTTATCATAATTGTTGCGGATAACAAGAGTCACCATCGACTTTTCTTTTATCCAATAAAGGAACAGGGTGAAAAGAACAGGAAAGTCCTTTTGAGAATTTTCTTGAGTTCGGGGGGTAGGTTATGAAAAGGGAAGGTGTTAGCACCCTTTTCATCCGTAGTTATCTATGGTCTCTTAGTTGCTAGCTCACTTTGAAATGCTTTGTTTGAAATGTGTTTGTGATTGGTTTTGAAAGTATTTTTGAAAAGTGCCTTCGTTTAGGCGAACTTTGTAATGATTCTCGTCTCTATAAGAATGCATACAAAGTGTTGACTTTTGAAAATATTTCATTTGAAAGTGTTGGTGTGTTTGAAAGATGTTTGAAAATGGTTGTGAGCAAGCAACTATGAATGTTCTACCTACTCAAAAAGTCTTAGTTCTTTTTCTCCTCCTTTAGATATTTCTATCTTACCATTGATTGATAAGAAGCCATATCATTGGATGAGAAGGGATAGGTGTGGGTCGTTGTATAGTCATAGAAGGAAACATTGTAGGATACCTTAGCAATTTTTGTAAGGGCCTAAGATCGTTTATCGAAGGCAACATCGAAGGGTCATTGAGGGACTACAATCTTGTATTCGAGGGTCATTTCTAAAGTATCCCACGTTCGAGAAACATGATTATTTATTCGTAGGCAACAAGTGTGGGTTACCCGAGAGGTGCGTGTGTGAATTGTGTTTTGATTGCATGCATTTTTTTCTTGAGATTAGGGTTCTCTAAGATTGATTTTATCTTGCCATACATACCCTAATTACTAACAATTATATTAAAAGCGATAAATTGCAGAAATTAAAGTCCTACGCTATTACATCATTTAGGGGAAGGGGATACAAATTATAAATGAGGATGAAAGAAATTAAACCTAATTACTATTACAGCCAAATTGAATAAAAATAAATAGCAAAAAAGTCTCAAAAATTAATATTTTTGGTGTTTAGGCTGACACGGGCCGTGTCCTGTGACACGGGCACCTGTGTCAGGACATTGTCCTGCCATGCATGCCTTTTTTATCCTAGTTGAGCAGACACGGGCCGTGTCCCGTGACACGGGCACCCGTGTCAAAACCCTGTCCTGCCATTTTACCAAGTTTTAATCCCAGTAAGAGGGACACGGGTTGTGTCTTGTGACACGGGCACCCGTGTCAGAACCCTGTCTTGCCAAACTTGTTGAAAATTTCTCTAAGTGTTAGATAAAAAGGTCATAACTTCATGGGCCCATATCTCTTAATCTAAGCATTTTTTGGACATCATTCCTCAAGGACAAAGTTGTAGAATTCATCATGCTCTACAACTTTCATGTTGAAAGTTTTCCTTGAATCATCTTGTATCTTAGTGAAAAATAGTCATGAAGTAGTGAATTTATTAAGGGCAAAAACACTTAGAATTTTTCTAAGTATTGGAAATTTTGACTTTTTGTTGACTTTGTGATTCTTGTTGATCAAGCTTGAAAAATCTGAATGTCTTGATGACTCTTGACCTTTGAAGTTCAAAATTGACCAAAAAGTCAAAGTTTGACTTTTGTGTGACAGTTGACTTTTCATTAGTTGATCTCAATTCTTCAACTGTCAATCTCTTGCACCTTTGGAAATGTCTTGAACCATGTAATTAGGTCAAGATTTTGTGTTTGAGTCCTTAAGATCATGCTTCAAGTCATTAGATCATGTACTAGGTCAAAAGTCAATGATCAGTCATTCTCAATCAAAACCCTAAATTTGACAATTTTGCCCCTTTGATGATTTGAGTGCTTTCCTTGAGGAATTATGATTAACCCTTAATAAAATGATAAATATCACATAAAAATGTTGATGTTGGCAAAAAAATCTTGAAGTTTGACTATATATTGACCACAATTGACTTTTTACTCAATACAATTGATTTACAGTCATCTGAGCAATTGACTGAGCAAATTTGTGATGCAAGACTTGAAACTTGGTATGAGCATTCTTGGAGACTTATGATGAATCATGAAAGTCACTTGAGGCATTATAAGTCGAATTTTCCTTGAGAAAACAAAAACCCTAGTTGGGGGCTCAGTGCTTAGGAGGTGAGCTTGTTTGATCAACTGTTGAGAATCCTTGAGCATTTGAGAATTTTTGTAAGAAATGTCTTGAGAAAAATGGAGGAGAAATTTTGGGGTACAACATATTGTATCCCCAATCAAATACCAGTTTCAACACATCAGATAAACCTCATTTTTCGCTATTAAGATCACACACAGATGTCTGAACCCCGCCCCTACAAAACATCGTATTCTCTCTAGCAAACTCTCCTCCATGATGAACAATAACACTGAACTTACCCATTGTCTGTATTACAAACAACTTCACTATTACAATGGTGTTCTAAATCTAACGAGAAAACACAAAACACAAAACACAAAAAGGAGTAGATATAACGATTTCGTACCTTGAACACTTCGAGTTGTACGAACGATTGATTGCTTCAACAATATCTCCCACGCGTTTTCCTTTCAACTGCAACTTGAAGGTCGTCAATGGCATTTAGACTTAGGACAAATATGAGAAGGTCTAGAATATAAAATCTTTTGTAATTTTATAAACTCATTTTATTGATGTGGCAACGATTAATCCATGCGTCAACTAAAATATATGAAGAAAAAATGTCACATTTCATGACACATACGTATCTGACATTAGCCAATTTCCTCTAAGGTCTAAACTTTTGCAACAAAAAAAAAATTGCACAGGTAAACCAAAACTCACATTTGAGAGGGATAAAATCGTATTAACCCAAATTTAAACAACAACATTTTGGGTCTCGAGTGGCAATTGAGTGACAATTAAATCTTTACAAAAAGACGACATTCAAGAAATATCAAATTTAATTCCTAACAAAAAAAAAAATAATCGGTAACACGGCCCCTTCTCCCTAAAAACCAGAATGCAAAATAAATAAAAAAGTTTAAAACAACAACATGTTCGTGTGTACCTGCTTTCAATGAGAATGTTAAAAACTCCAAAATTTACAAATGTTCGCCTCTCTTCTGAAAAACAAGGAGATGCTGTGCTCATTCTCTGCTTCTCAGGTCAGTTCTTCTTCAACCTTTCTTACTCGCCATTTTCTTCCAAAACACAAAATGCTAAACATTAAAACTACTTATCACTCTTCCGTTTTCCATTTTAAAAGTGATTCTCAAGATTCGATTCGTTAATGGATTCAAAAAAAAAAATTCAAATAGAAATTAAAAAAATTCCGACCTACCGGATTCGAACCAGTGACCTAAGGATGACAGCATGGAATCCCAACTACAGTCCTCCGCTCTACCAACTGAGCTAAGGTCGGTCGCTGGTTATGATTTGTGTTTAATGATAATCGTTAATTAAAGGTTTATTGTAAGTTAAGAGTAATATCATTCCATCCCTAAGAATTAGTTATCAATATCTCCCTCTCTTATTTGTAACACTGCTTTGTTTGTTTATTGTTGATGGTATCCCAAGGATTGTGAAATGGATGAAGACGAGTTGATCTTGTTGTCGATGACCAGAAGATCTTTCAACAAGTTCCATATTTTCATGATGGAAGGTTATCAAGTCTTCCCTCAACAACTCTATTTTCATTTTGTTTTCAATTTATGGAATTCTTCTGGCTATTTTTCTATCTTGAAAATGGTACGTATCAGCATGTCTAAGGCTGTACTCCAGAAAGATCACAACACTAATGAGAGTCATGTTGCGACCTTTGTCAACATTGTTGGAAGATAATAGATATAGTTGCTAGACTTGAATCAATTCTCAAACTTAAAGATATTCTTGGTCTTCAAAATATTGCAACTCACCACTCATCATGGAGAACTCCGTCAACCTCTTTAGAAGACAGATCTATCATTTTTGGTAGGGATCAAGACAAACAGGCCATACTCAAATTACTCTTACATGATGATGATAACACTGCTGTCATCCCCATTGTTGGCATGGGTGGCCTTGGAAAAACAACTTTAGCCCAATTTGTGTTCAACCATGACAGTATAAAGCACAAATTTGATGTTCAAGCATGGGTTTGTGTTTTTGATGATTTCAATGTTTTGAAAGTTACAAAGTTCATCGCTGAGGAAGTGGGAAGTGCTTGTAACACAAATAACTTGAATATCAAGATTTGAAGGAAAAGCTCACTGGAAAGAGGTTCTTAATTGTTTTAGATGATGTATGGACCGAGGATTACGACGCTTGGAACTATGGGAAGTAAAATTCTTGTAACTACCCGTAGTGAAAAAGTTACTTCTATGGTCCAAACGATTCATCCTTAATCTCTTCAGCAATTGTCTGATGAAGATTGTTGGTCAGTGTTTGCAGACAATGCTTGCCTTTCTCCAGATGAATCCATTGAGAATATGGATCTCCAAAAAATTGGAAAAGAGATTGTTAGAAAATGTAAGGGATTGCCTTTAGCAGCACAGTCACTTGGGCGCTTGTTACGAGAAAAACATGACATGAGGGATTGGAATAGTATACTGAATAATAATATTTGGGAGAATAAGAGTAAGATCATTCCAGCATTGAGAATTAGTTATCATTATCTCTCTCCATATTTAAAACGTTGCTTTGTATATTGTTCATTGTTTCCAAGGATTATCAATTTGATAAACATGAATTAATCTTGTTGTGGATGGCGGAGGATCTTTTACATCCTTTAGAAAATAGCAAGACTTTAGAAGAAGTTGGTTTTGGGTATTTTAATGCTTCTAAATCATTTTTTCAACATTCTGGTTGCGGGAACTTCAACCAACATTCTGTAATGCATGTTCTGGTGCATGATTTGGCGACATGGCTTGGTGGAGAATTTTATTTTAGAACAGAAGTAATTGGGAAAGATACGAAGATTGGTACCAAGACTCGTCATTTGTCATTTTCCAAGTTCAGTGATCCAATCTCAGCAAACTTTGATATTTTCGGCAGAATAAAATGTCTAAGAACAATCTCGCCAATCTATTTATGGGATGATCCATTCAACAAAGAAAAGGCTTCATGCTTCATTTTGTCAAAAATTGAAGTACTTGAGAGTTTTAAAATTTGGCAACTTTGAAGGTCTTGATGCATTTCTTGATTCAATAGATGAAAATTTGCGTTATTTGGATCTCTCTTCCACGTCTATAAAGATTTTACCCGAGTCATTATGTAACTTGTATAATCTACAAACGTTAAAGTTGTTCAATTGTGAAAATCTAACAAGGCTTCCCAATGACATGCAAAATCTTGTAAATTTGCGCGATCTGGAAATTTGGGGAACTAATTTAAAAGAGATGCCTAGAGGAATGAGCAAATTGATTAATTTGCAACATTTGGGTTGGTTTGTCGTGGGAACGCAGGAAGAGAAAGGGATCAAGGAATTGGGAACACTTTCGAATCTTCACAGATCACTTGCCATTAGCAAATTAGAGAACGTGACCAACAGCTTTGAAGCATCTCAGGCAAAGATAATGGATAAAAAGTACCTTGATAAATTATGGTTTGAATGATCTGAAGATGCAAAGAACCATTTTACAAGTTCAGAAAGTGAGATGGATATACTTGGAAAGTTACAACCTACCAAGAACCTGAAAAGGCTAGATATTCATGGATACAGGGGCACACTATTTCCTGAATGGGTTGGACATCCTTCCTACCAAAATTTGACTAAGGTATCTCTGTCTGGTTGTTTGAATTGTTGTATCCTTCCATCACTTGGACAATTATGCTCTCTCAAGGTCTTGACAATCAGTGAAATGAATATGCTGGAGACTATTGGATCTGAAGATGACGATACCTTTTCAGGGACATACTTTCCTTCCCTTAAACATCTGAAGTTTGTTGAGATGTCATGTTGGGAAGCGTGGCATCATCCTCACGAGTCAAATACTTATTTTCCAGTATTGAAGTCTATTGTGATTAATGATTGTCCCAAATTACATGAGGATTTGCCATCTTATCTTCCCGTTTTGGAAACAATTTATATTGGAGGATGCAACCAGCTTGTTTCTTCTCTCCCAAGGGCTCCTTCCATCTGCAATTTATACAAAGCAATAATATAGCCTTGAATGAGCTACCCCTTTCACCGGAAGAGTTAAATGTTGGAGGAAGAGAGGTGACAGAATCTGTCTTTGAAGCCATTGCCATCACCCCACCAATTTCTCTTAAAATATTAGTCATCAAGGATTGTTCTTCTACGATATCGTTTCCAAGAGTTTGTTTACCTATCCTTAAAGAGTCTGTCCATCACAAATTCTAGTAATCTAGATTTCCCAAAGCTAAATCACGGCCATGAGTCACTTAAGTATCTTTGTATAGATAGGAGTTGTGATTCTCTCATAACCCTCCCATTAGATACCCTTCCCAACCTCCATCATCTGCAAATTGACAACTGTGAAAACATAGAATGTCTTTCCGTATCAAAGTTTCTTCAAAATCTCGTTGATATATTGACATTCGTGACTGCCCCAGATTTGCATCATTTCCAAGAGAAGGACTGTCTGCACCCAAATTGACATTATTGTATGTCTCCAACTGTGTCAATTTAAAATCACTGCCTTGTCATATAAGTACTCTTCTCCCAAAGCTCCCAAAGTTAGAAAGAGTGAGTATACATGATATGTGATGGGTTCTTATATGAATATATGAGTGAACAATGAATATATAAATAGTAAAAGAATGTTGTAATTGTATTATTACGGACGAACAATTACAAAGAAGTAACGGTGATGAAAATAACAAACTGATAGAGAATATCTATCAGCCCCTAAGCACGCAGTGCTTCCCTCACCAAGACGGTGATTCTCAAATCAAAAAATAGAATACCTAGATACCTTATTTCCTCTCTATTTTATAGTCATAAACTTAACTAATTATTCTCTCTCTTCCTTCCCTATTTTATAGTAACAAACTCATTAATTATAGGATTAATTATAGTAACAACTCCTATAATTATTCTCTCTTTCTCTCTTCCCTATTTTATCGTAACAAACTCCTACAATCTATTCCTTTATTCCTTTGCCACGTCTTCTAGTATAAACCCTCCACACTTTTGGCTTAGGCCCAAAGTCAAGCCCAACTTCTTCACCTAAGTCTCTATCAACACCTCGGTCCTTCACAACTGCCTTGTCCTCAAGGCTAAAATTTGGAAACTGCCCCTTAAGATAAGCATTGTCTTCCCATGTGACATCATCAACATGTTTGTTCTTCCACTGAATTAAACTTTGAGGAATAGAAACACCTCTCAGCACATTAATTCTAGAGCCTAACACCTTTTCTGGATAAAAGTCATCATCAAGTGCGACCTCTAATTCTGTAGGTAGTGCCCCTTGAGCCTGATAGTCACCTATAGCCTTTTTTAGCAATGAAACATGAAAAACTGGATGAATTTTGGAAGTGTCAGGTAATTGCAACTTGTATGCTACAGCTCCCATCTTGTCCACAATTTTGAAAGGACCATAATAACGAGCAGCTAGCTTTTGATTAATCCTCTTTATCACTGACTGCTGTCTGTGAGGTCTAAGCTTCAAAAACATCCATTCACCGACATCAAATTGTACATCTCTTCTCTTTGTATCTGCATACTTCTTCATTTGTTGTTGAGCACGCAACAAATGACTCTTAAGCTGATTCAAAGCCTCATCCCTTTCACTTAACTCCAAAGCCACAGCAGCTACCTTTGTCTCGTTGCTTAAAAATCTTAACAAGCTGGGAGGTAGTCTTCCATACACCACTTCAAAAGGTGTCTTCCCAATAGAAACATGAAAAGTAGTGTTATACCAATATTCTGCCCAGGGAAGCCAGTGAGACCAGGACTTCGGCTGTTCCGATGCAAAACACCTTAGATAACTCTCCAAGCATCTATTTAACACCTCGGTTTGTCCATCAGTTTCTGGGTGGTAGGCAGAGCTCATCTTTTATTTGGTACCTTGTAACTTGAACAATTCCATCCAAAAATGACTCACAAACAAAGGGTCTCTATCACTGATAATAGAAGTAGGAATACCATGGAGCCTGACAATCTCCTTCACAAATAACTCTGCTATGGACTTGGCAGTGTAGGGGTGTTTTAGAAGGATAAAGTGACTGTACTTAGATAGTCTGTCCACTACCACAAGTACAGCTGCATAACCCTTGGATTTTGGAAGGCTAGTGATAAAGTCTAAGGACAAATCCTCCCAAATGGCATTGGGAATAGGAAGAGGCTGTAGGAGACCACCTGGGGTAGTAGCTGCATACTTTTGTCTCTGGCATATGTCATAAGCTCTCACAAAATCTCTGACCTGTCTTTGCATTCCCACCCAATATAAATTCTCAGCCAACCTTCTATAGGTTCTGAGGTACCCAGAATGACCTCTTGTAGGTGTGCTGTGAAATTCTTGTAACAAAAATGGGATTGAATGAGAGTTTGGGGACAAGACCAACCTGCCATGATAAAATAAGGTACCCTGTTGCACAGTATAACCTGGCCTAGCATCTGGTGAGGCCATCAATTCAGCAATGATCTTCTGAATTCCTAGATCCTGTTGCACTTCTTGTAACAATTTCTGACCCTCCAACCATTTTGGGTAAGAGACTATAGAATTCATTTCCACATCCCCATAACATCTGGATAAAGCATCAGCAGCTTTGTTCTCACCTCCTGGCTTATATTTGACTTCAAATTGGTACCCAAGCAACTTAGCTAACCAACATTGTTGATCTGGTGAGGAAATTCTTTGTTGAAGGAAGTGTTTCAAGCTTTTGTGATCAGAAAACACAGTGAATTGCTTCCCCAAGAGATAATGTCTCCAGTGCTGTATAGATAATACTAATGCCATAAGCTCTTTTTCATACACAGATTTTGATAAATTGCCATCAGACAAAGCCTTGCTGAAAAAAGCTACAGGCTGCCTGTTTTGCATCAAAACTGCCCCGATACCCCTTCCGGCTGCATCACATTCCACTTCAAAGGTTAGGGAAAAATTAGGCAGAGCTAATACAGGAGTGGTGGTCATGATTGTCTTCAGTTGGCTGAAAGCCGCAGAGGCTTCTGGACCCCACTTAAAATTATCTTTCTTTGTCATTTCCGTCAAAGGTTTGGCCAATTTGCCATAATCCCTGATGAACTTTCTGTAATATCCAGTAAGACCCAAAAATCCACGTACCCCTTTTACATTTTTGGGTTCAGGCCAATCCACTATACATCTAATCTTCTCAGGGTCTACTGACACCCCTGCGCCAGAAATTATGTGTCCCAAG